CTTTATGCTGAAAAGCAGTTTATATTTAACTTCAATTGATATTTAACTTATTTTTAAAAAAAAAAGACTTCAACCATAAAAGCCACAAGTGCTGCCAATTTGGAACTTCAGGGTGGGTTGTGGACCTCAAGTATTTCCTGGTTTTCTTAGCTAAAACTTAAACATCTGGGGGGTTGTTGTCTTAACTGAAATATTTCCAGGGGAAAATCCTTCACTTGGAAACAATGGGACATGAGAGAGTCAGGAAAAAGTGCAGAGATTTAAGCAAATAAGTTATTTGCTACTTAGAGAGCAGCACTTGAGGATTCCTATGGAATATGGAAAATGGCTGGCCACATTCCATGGTAACATGTGTCTCTTGGGAAGGTTTGGGAGTGAAAAATTGGTTCAGAAAATTGCCAAATTCCATTGCAGAGCCAAATGAAAGCTGTTAAGGATCTTTCATTAACATTTGTAGTGTGGAAACTCACACCACATGTAGTCAGTGCAGCTGGTGCTTGGAATTGGTGCTGGTGGCTAGACAGAGATAAAGAATAAAGCAGGGATTGATTCAAGGATCTCCTCCATGGATCCACCTTGGGCAGCACCAGAGCCCAGCCAGGGCTGCCCCCAGGATGAACCCAAATGGCCCCAAAATGCACGAGCGCTGCCGGGGTCTCTCCCTGGGCTCAGCTCTGCTCCATGTGCACATTGCAGTTCAGTGTCCAGTTCCAGCTGCAGCCCCTGCAGTCCCACCCTGCTTGTTTTTCTCTCTGCAGCCCACGGGCTTTGTGCTCCTGGCCTGAGATTGGGATCATTTGTCCTTGGTGCCCAGCTGGAGCAGGAATTGTTTTGTGTCCCTGCGCTGTGCACAGAGCTCCCCATGCCCTGATGTGAAGCTCAGAACTGCACACTAAAGCAGCAGAGAATCTGAAACATAGAAGAGCTCAAATCTGAGGTATTACTGAAGAATGATCCCAGAATGATCAGATTTTGGTGGGTTGTGCTTGCAGGCTGGCAAGTTTGGGCAGTTAACCTACGTCAGGGTGTACCAGGGGATGCTGAAGAAGTCAGATTACATCTACAACACCCGCACGGGGAAGAGGGTCAGGGTGCAGAGACTGGTGCGGATGCACTCGGACAACATGGAGGTGAGTGGGTCCCTGGGGATGGGCTGCCAGCCCTGGATCACCCTGGGTGGGTCACTCTGGGTGGATCAGCTCTGCCTGAGCCCCTGGATCACCCTGGATGGATCACCCTGGATGGATCAGCTCTGCCTGAGCCCCTGGATCACCCTGGGTGGATCACCCTGGATGGATCACCCTGGGTGGATCAGCTCTGCCTGAGCCCCTGGATCACCCTGGATGGATCACCCTGGGTGGATCAGCTCTGCCTGAGGCCCTGGATCACCCTGGATGATGATCCTGAAGCACAGGATGGTCTTTGCTTCTTAACTTTGCTTCTTGTTTGATCATGAATTAATCCAAGCTGAGCCCTCCCTTTTGTCCTTTGAATAAAGAGGGAGATTTGCAGGGCTTTTTATCCAGGCTGGAAGTTTTTAAGGCGCTCAGTGTCAAGCTTTAAAAGACAAATGTTTGGATGTGAGTGAAACAGAATCAATCTGGGAATTGGTGGTTTGGGATGGAAGGGTCCTTTAGGCTCATCCAGCCACAAGGGCCGGGACACCTTCCACTATCCCAGGGTGATCCAAGCCCTGTCCAGCCTGGCCTTGGGCACCTGCAGGGATCCAGGGGCAGCCACAGCTGCTCTTATGCCAGTGTTGTCTGCAGAGGAATTTCCCTTCCCTCAGGATGTAAATGAAGTTTATGCTGGGGACATCTGTGCCCTGTTTGGGATCGACTGTGCCAGCGGGGACACGTTCACAGATAAAACCAGCACTGACATCTCCATGGTGAGCCCCCCTTGCCCTGGCTGCCTCAGGCACTGCCAGTCACCAGGATTTTGCTGGAATTTGTAACCCCCTTTTCCTTGGCCACACAGGAATCCATCCACATCCCTGATCCCGTCATTTCCGTGGCTATGAAGCCTTCCAACAAGGTAGGAGCAGTTGGATCAGCCTCTTCTCCCTGGGTTCCCTCCCTTTGCTGCTTTGTGATTTCATGGAACAGTCTAAGCACTGTTTGGAAGTGTTTTATCCCAATATCCAAGATTTTATCCCTTGGATAACCCAGGGCTGTGCTGGATGCTGTCACTCAGCCAGAAACATGAACTTGAAATAAATAATTAACACTTTAATCAAGAGTTATAAGTCTTCATAAAATAACCCAAAGAGCAGAAATGGGAAAGTGGTGGGAAAACTTGAGGCTTTTTTCTTGGAATGACTCATGGATGTTGAGTGAATCTTGGCTTGTGTTTCAGAATGACCTGGATAAATTTTCCAAAGGCCTGGGCCGCTTCACCAGGGAAGATCCCACCTTCAGGATCCACTTTGATGAGGAGAGCAAGGAGACCATTGTCTCTGGGATGGGGGAGCTGCACCTGGAAATCTATGCCCAGGTAATTTGGGAAGCACATCCTATGGATTCACTTCTGCCCGCTTTTCCCATCTCATCTTCCTCCTCCCTACTCCTTCCAGCTGCTTAGGGAAAAAGTGAACTTTAAAGTCAACTATTGAAGGTTCTTTCTCTCCAGTGGTTCCATTCTGAAGGCTTCTAAAAGGAAATTTTGCCTGGAATATTTTTAGAATTTGGTACAACCCATAAAATTTATTAAACACTAACTTTGCTTTAGTAGCCTTTGCTTATAACAATTAATAATGCCTAATTGTAATTCTGTGGTTTTAAATGTATCATTCCCTAATAATAGCTGGTGCAGGGAAAAAGGAGTAGTTGGGATTTGTTGCTTTCCAGCTGATGTCTATATTTTAATCTTAACACAAAAAAATGTATCTTAAATATTGGCAGAATGAAGAAAAAGTTATTTTTGCCTTGAAAAAACTTGAATTTTAATAACATAATTAATGCTGTTTCCTTTTCCTGCATATGAAGCTGCAACTCTTAAAGAAGTTGATGGGGAATAATTTGTTAATTTTTTAAAAATTACAGAAAGTCCCAAAAATCAACCCAACCCCCAACCAAAGAAGTGATTAATCCTGATCGAGTTACTAAATAATTCCCAATGGAATAACCCTAATCACTGTGGGTTTTTTCCTGCAGAGAATGGAGAGAGAATATGGCTGTCCTTGCACCATGGGGAAGCCCAAAGTTGCCTTCAGGGAGAACATCTGTGCCCCTGTGCCGTGAGTACTCCTGCTGGGAATTGCTGCATTGATCCCCTTGGAGGCAGGGGAAGTCCCTTTGGAATGCTGGGATCAGAAGTGCCCAGGAAGGTTTCATTTCATGTCTTGTACTGTGGTTGGTCCCCACTCCATCAGCTGCTCCTCCCAGGTGTGGGAGCTCTGAAGTGTTCCCAGGGGTGCTCAGGTGTTCCCAGGGGTGCTCAGGAGCTCCCAGGTGTTCTGAGGGGTGCTCAGGAGTTGCCAGGGGTGTTCCTGGGAGTGTTCCCAGGCATGCTCAGGAGTTCCCAGGGGTGCTCAGGAGCTCCCAGGTGTTCTGAGGGGTGCTCAGGAGTTGCCAGGGGTGTTCCTGGGAGTGTTCCCAGGCATGCTCAGGAGTTCCCAGGGGTGCTCAGGAGCTCCCATGTGTTCCCAGGGGTGCTCAAGAGTTCCCAGGGGTGTTCCCAGGGGTGCTCAGGAGTTCCCAGGGGTGTTCCCAGGGGTGCTCGGGTGTTCTCAGGGGTGTTCCTCAGGAGTTTCCAGGGGTGCTCAGGTGTCCCTGGGGTTGTTCCCAGGTGTTCTCAGGAGTTTCCAGAGGTGCTCAGGTATTCCCAGATGTTCTCAGGAGCTCCCAGGTGTCCCCAGGGGTGCTCAGGAGCTCCCAGGGGTGCTCAGGAGCTCCCAGGTGTTTCCAGAGGTGCTCAGGTGTTCTCAGGAGTTTCCAGAGGTGCTCAGGTGTTCTCAGGAGTTTCCAGAGGTGCTCAGGTATTCCCAGGCGTTCTCAGGAGCTCCCAGGTGTCCCCAGGCATTCTCAGGAGCTCCCAGGTGTCCCCAGGTGTTCTCAGGAGCTCCCCTGTCCCGCGGCGCGGCTCTGGGACACCCGGGCCCCACGCTGGGGGTGCCACAGCAGGGTCACCTCCCAGGGCAGCACCTCCTGTGGGGCACACACAGCACAGTCAGCAGCCCCTGCTGCCCCCTCTAGCCAGCCAGGAGCTTCCTAATGGAAACTTGGGGATTAAACCCGAGGGAATGGGAGTGCAGGGGGTCAGGAGCAGCAGAGCTGGAGCTGGGAGGGAGATCCCTGGATTATTACAGGCAAGAGCTTCCCTTCCCAATTTCTGTGGTTTTCCTATGAAAACACCTGCTCAGATCCCAGAATGTTGCTGGAGAGTAGCACAGGATGTAAATGCTGTTCTGGCAGCCAGTTTCTGCTGGGGTTACTGGGCTTGCTGAGGTCTCTGTCCTGGCCCATGGAGGCATCCACAGCCCAGCTGGAATTCAGCTGAGCATCCAGGATGCTCCAGCTGCCCCTTCCCTTTATCCCTGCCCACTCTGGCACTGGCATCTCCCAAGGGAGAGCTGTGAGGGACCAGTTTTGAACCTCAGCCATTCCCACCAAAGCCCCAAGCTGGAAGTTGCTGCTGTTGTTCTGGAATGCTGAGACAGGCAGGGATGGGGACCCTGAGCTCACCCTGCAGGATCAGATCTGTGTCTGAGCTGGAGCTCACCCAGCTGCAGTCTCAAAACACCCAAAAAAGGCTTTCTAGGAATAAAATTATTTACCTGGGACACCATTTCATGGAGTAGAACCATAAAGTCAAATTGAAGATCTTCATCACTTCTTTTCTGGAAAGACAGGATGAAAAGGGTTGAATTTGGGGATTCTCCCAGCTCAGAAAATGTGGTTCAGTTCTCTGTGGTCATCACAAAAATTCCCTGATGGATTTCAGGTAAAACAGGCAGCTCCTGATCACAAATGAAGCAGGTGGAGCTCAGGCACTGTAACAAAATTAAAAGCTCCTGGTTTGCATTTCTGTGCACTCCAAAACTGCACTGGAGACACTGAATGTAAAGCTTTAAGCTGCTAATTCCTGCCTTACAGAGACCAGATCTGTCAGGAATTCTTTGGGATGGGAGCACCTCATTCTAGCAGGTGCCAGTTTAACCCAAACAATCCCAAATAAAATTGGCAAGAGGATAAGGACACTCCAGAGGCCTTTCTGTGAGTGACAGCCTGGGATTCTGAGTGACAAAATAAACCCTGGCCCTTGAAATGTATTTTCCTGTGTTTTCAGGGAAAAAGGGACACAACTGGAGAGATGGCAGCTGGGTTAGTTAATTGTTATTTGTCTCCTTTATCCTTAAGTTGGTTAGAAAAAATCTTTAAGCTCTTGCTGGTGCACAGCTCTGCAGCAGTTGTGAATTCTCTAAAATGCCATCAGAGGGAGCAAAACATTCACAAATCCTACTCCCACAAGGAATTCCTGTCTTTCCTTCAGACCCAGAACTTCCTGGGAATTCACTGTCTGTTCAGAGGGGTAAAACTTCTGGAGTTTTCCATTTTCTAAACACTAAATCCTGCTGCTTTTCCCTGGCTCCTGTGGAAAATTGAATTTAAAGCTGATGATCACTTTAGGGTTATTTTTAACTCAGAATCGATTTTCTCTAATAGAACACAGCAAAACTGGGAGGATCTATGGAATTCTGTTAATTTAGTTTATTGTCCTTGCCACAACTGCTTAGCTCATGAATACTTTGCAGGGAAAGCCAAGACCAGGCTGATGGGCTTGGAGCACCCTGGGCTGTGGAAGGTGTCCCTGCCCATGCAGGGAATGGGAATGAGATGGGAATGGATGAGAAGGGGAATGGGATGAGCTTTAGTGTCCCTCCATCCCAGCCCAGGCTGGGATTCTGTTCCTGCTGGGAACTCACCACTTGCTTCACGTGTTTCACTTGGGCAAGGTGGAACTTGGTGTTTTCCGTGGAATTCTGCCAGATCACGTAGCCAGAGGCCACCCAGGCCAGCAGGTGGATGGGCTCCAGCTCTGGGGGAACGTTCCCATGGCTGTCTGGAACCAAAATAAACACTGCATGTTAAAGAGAGCCTCAACAGAGCATTATCACCTCACACAGGGCTTGCTGCCCAACTCCCTGTCACACAGCCTTGCAAGAGCTGCTCCCTCACCACAGAGTTTTCCTCCCACTCCACACAATCCTGCAGTGCTTTGGGTTGGAAGGGCCCTTAAATCCCACCCAGTGCCACCCCTGCCATGGCAGAGACCCCCCCCTCTGCCCCAGGCTGCTCCAAGCCCCATCCAGCCTGGCCTGGCACACTTCCAGGGTGTTCTCCTCCATCTTTTTCTCTTAACAGAAATCCCAAGTTTTGAGGGCAGTGCTCTGAGAGCAGCTCCTCACTGTCCACTTGGGGTGTTGGATGTGCTGTGCCAGGACACCCTCAGAGGGGGCAGGGACAGGTGACAGTGACAGTGCCAGCTGCTCTTCCAGAACACTCACAATCAGGAATAAATGCAGTGGCTGTGCTTGCAGACCTCCCAAAAAGGGAAAGGTGAAGGCCTGAGCCCTCTCCCAGCCCTGGCTTGTACCTGGGATGTTCTCAGCCACCAGCTCCTTTTCCAGGCTCCTGATCCGACTGTAGAATTCCTTGTCTGCTCCCTCGGTGCTCCTGAGCTCTCCCTGCACTGTGACCTGCACATCTGGAGCAGAGCTTTTGCTGCCCAGGTGGTACAGAACCTCAGCAGTGCAGTGGACAGTCGTGTCCTGTGGCAGAGTTAATGATGTGCATTATTATCTGATAGAAGATGTGTATAACCAGGGTCATTTGCACCTCTGAAAATGTCATTTTAATGTAGTTGCTGTTTTCTCTGAGTCTGGTCCGGAGAGGTTTGTGATTATTTAAGACAAGGTTAAATTCCTGGCATTTCTGTGGCTGTTTAAGGGTAGGATTTGCTTTCTGCAGTGATGGAAGGGGCAGTGGTTGGGTGCAGAATGTCCCTGTGCTGTTTAGTTGGAGCTGGGTGATGCTGGAATGTCCTTGTCCCCCTGCAGCATTGTCTGGTGGTGTGGTGCAAGGTACCACGTGGGCAGGGGGTTCCTTTTGGTTAAAATTCAGCCTTTTTGGGGCCTGATTGGCAATACAGAAAAATCAGGAGCATGATTCAAAATACTAAGTGCTGTGTGCACAGAGTGTGTAATTAAAGCAGTCTGACTCACTTTGTCCAGGACATCTTCCAGCTCCAGGTCCAGGTAGTACTTGTGCCCCACATCATCAATGTCCTAAAAAAGGGAAAATATTAATTATTAATAACATTTGTTTTGGCAAATGTTGAATGGCTGCATCTTGGACAAAATCAGAGAATCCCAGGATGGTTTGGGTTGGAAGGGACCTTAAATCCCATCCAGGGATGGGGCAGGGACACCTCCCACTATCCCAGGTTGCTCCAAATCCTATCCAGCCTGGTCTTGGCACTTCCAGGGATGGGCACTCTGTGCCAGGGCCTCTCCACACTCATTTCTATCCTTGAACACCCCTGAATTGTCAATTTTGGGCTCCTGTGTGTTGTATCCAAGAATTTGCTGCTTGTTTAAACACTCCCCTAAAAGCCTTCAGTGCATTAATTCCATTATTATTAATTGGATCGTGCCCTGTATTTTTCTGGCTGTAAAGAAGGGAGCAGGCAGGGTTTGTTGTGCCCTTGTTTTAGCACTGGGTTTGCTGTGTCCCCACAGTGCCAGCTGTCCCTGCAGAGCCCGGGCAGGGCTGAGCTGTGTCCTGGCAGGCACAGAGCACCCAGCTCCCTCCTCCTCCTCCCGGGGAGGTTCCTCCTGGCGCGGTGCCGGTGCCGTGCCCTGGGCAGGGCTCTCTCGGCGGTGCTGTCACCGCAGGTGACACACGGGTGTGTCCCACAGCGCTGACCCGCCCGTGGTGACCCCGAGCTCTGCCAGGACCCCCAGACGGACCCAGGCGGTGGCAGTGCCACAGCCCCAGAGCAGCTGCGGCTGGGAAGGACCTTGCACATCGCCAGCCCAGGCGGGGTCACCGGGACGCGCCCGGGGGCTTTGGGGTGTCCCCAGAGCGGGACCCTCCACACGTCCCGTGCAGCTGTCCCCGTGTCCTGCCCGCGCCATGGCAAAAGCCCGGTGCCGGCTCCCAGTGCCGGTTCCCATGCCGCTCCCGGTGCCGTCCCGGTCCCGGTCCCCGTGCCGCTCCCGGTGCCGGTTCCCGGTCCCGGTGCCGGTTCCCGGTCCTGTGGCTCACCTGGCGGCGGGCGCGGCGCAGCTCCCGCAGCTGCAGCCCCCGCCCGCCATGGCAAAAGCCCGGTCCCGGTTCCCGGTCCCGGTGCCGGCTCCCGGTGCCGGGTCCCGGTCCCGGTCCCGGTCCCCGTGCCGCTCCCGGTCCCGTCCCGGTCCTGTGGCTCACCTGGCGGCGGGCGCGGCGCAGCTCCCGCAGCTGCAGCCCCCGCCCGGGGCCGCCCCGCAGGTACCGCAGGTACCCCACGGCCACGGCGGCGGCGCGGGCGGCCGAGAGGTGGCTCGGAGGCAGCTCCATGGCCCGGGAGCCGCTTCCTCCTCCCGCAGGAAGCGCCGGGCAGGGCGGGGCGGCCGGGGCGGGCTCCGGGCCGGCTGCTGCGGGGCAGCGCATCCCTGCACGGCACGGGATAGCGGGATGTCACACGGCGTGAGATGGGATATCGGGAATGAATCCTCTCCCGGGAGGGTGGGGAGGCCGTGGCACAGGTTTTCCAGGGAATTTGTGGCTGCTCTATCCCTGAAGTGGCCAGGTTGGACAGGGCTTGGAGCAGATAGCTTTTCTGCTCTCTGCCATGGATAGGAGAAAGCGTCCCTGCCCATGGAATTTTAAATTTAAATTCCCTTCCAGCCCAAACCAGTCTGTGATTGTCTGACATCCAGAATGGGAATGTTTTCCACAGGAAGCTGTGGATTGTGTCACAAGTGACGTGGTGTCTGGGGGGTTGTTGGGGTTTAGGTTTGAGTTCACCCACAAGAAGCAGTCAGGAGGAGCAGGCCAGTATGGCAAAGTGATCGGAGTGCTGGAGCCCCTGGATCCAGAGGACTTCACCAAACTGGAATTTGAGGACAGAACCATTGGCACAAATATTCCCAAGCAGTTTGTGCCCGCTGTGGAAAAGGTACAGACCTTCCTCTGTGGCACAGAAAAGCCTGATTGCTGTTCTGTTCCTGCAGTGGCACCCACATTTGCTGTACCTGCCTTGCCTCAGGAAAGGAGGCTTTTCCCGTTGCTCCAGTGGCAGCAGGGTCACAGCTGTGTGGTTTTACTCCATGTCTTGCATTCCTGGGGTTTCCAGTTAATTCAGGAGCTGCTGTTGTCTTTGGTGGTGTGTGCTGCCTCTGTTTCCCTTGTGAGAGCCTCCTGCTCAGGCTGCTTTTTCTTGGCCTCTTGTGTTTGTGGTTGTGGCCCCACAATTCTCCTCCCAACCCCAAAATGTGTAACTTTTTCTGTTCTTCTCTGAGGCCAGTTATAGAGGAAACTGTAATTAAGCTGCATTTCCTGCCTCAGTTCCCAAATTCTCTTTCTTTATCTCCTCTGTGTCTGCCTCACTGTATAATTTATTACACACAGCTTTAATTAACCTACCAACATCTTGGAATCCCTGTAATAACCTGCAATTATTCCTTTGTTTTTCCATGCTGCAATACTTAAAGATTTTTGGCAAATCCTGAAAAAACCATAGTCCTGGAATCTTGTTCTAAAGGCATCTTGTTCAATCTAAAGGAATCTTGCTCTCCAGGCAAGAGCTCTTTGCACACTGAGCATTCTTTAGGGGTTTGGCTGTGGCATCTGTTCAAAAGGCAAACCCTGAGGCCGTTTTTCCTTGTTGTGTGATTTTTGTTTGTGCAATCAGACTGAGGTGGCAGGGGCTGGCAGTGCAGAGGCTGCAGGTCCTGCTGCTGATGGGAGGTGTTGTTGCCAGGGCTTCCGAGACGCCTGTGAGAGGGGTCTGGTGTCGGGACACCGCATCTCCGGGGTGCGCTTCGTGCTGGAGGACGGCGCCCACCACATGGTGGACTCCAACGAGATCTCCTTCATCAGGGCAGGAGAGGGAGCCCTGAAACAAGGTACAGCTCCTCCAGGATGGGTTCTGCTGCCTGGTACCCATCCACCCATCCATCCATTCCACCCACCCACCCGCCTATACCATCCATCCATCCCTCCTCTCCATCCATCTATCCATCCATCCACCCACCCGCCTATTCCATCCATCCATCCATCCATCCATCCATCCATCCATCCATCCATCCATCCATCCATCTTTCCCTCCCTCCCTTCCTTCCTTCATCCCCCCAGAGCTTGCCCATTTTTATGGAGCAGAACATGTGCAAGAGTTTATAGAATTCCTGAGGGAGGCACAGTGATTCCTGTGGCTGTACAAAGGAAATCCTGTTTTTCTAGAATTCAGTACAGCACCACCAGTTTCATCCTTAGAGGGTAGGAAGAGAACATTTGGCCAAAGTGGGCCTTTTTGAGGAAACGTTCCTTCCCTGAAGGAGAGGTTGAGCACTGGAAGGGGCTGCCTTGGGAGTGGTGGGGTGACAGTCCCTGGAGGTGCTTAGACAATGTCTGGATGTGCCATTTCACAGTAGGGTTTAGTCAGCACAGTGCTGTCAGCCAAAGATTGGCCTTGATGATCCTGGAGGTCTTTCGCAGCCTTAATGATTCTGTGATTGTGGCTCCAGGAGGAGAACCAGGAGCTGGAATTTCAGTGCTGCTCATGGTTTTTCCCTGACATTAACCATAAACACCTGCTGCTGTGCATGGGAGCAGCTTGCCTTGCTCCAGGTTCACCTGTGGTGCTGGGTTTTCATTGCATTCTCCCCCCAGCCATGGAGAACGCTGCCGTGCGCATCCTGGAGCCCATCATGGCCGTGGAGGTGGTGGCTCCTGTGGAGTTCCAGGGGACAGTGATTGCTGGGATCAACCGGCGCCACGGCGTCATCACGGGCCAGGACGGCTCCGAGGGCTACTTCACTCTTTATGCTGAGGTCTGTGCTCACTCTCCTTTCCCCTCTCCTTTCCCCTCTCCTTTCCCCTCTCCTTTCCCCTCTCCTTTCCCCTCTCCTTTCCCCTCTCCTTTCCCCTCTCCTTTCCCCGTGTTTGATTCAGTTGTTTTCCTCAGTTTCTATGGATACAGTTGTAGGTTGACTCAATTTCAATGTTCTTTCTTTTATCTCCCTCCTAAAAATGATTGGAGAGGATCACTGGGTGTTTTCCTGCTGGGTGAGGGGCTGAGGACAAGCACAGCCTGTGGCCCTTCTGCTTCCCAAATTATCCTTGGAGGAATGTCTGGAGATACCTTAAACCTTGCTGGTTGACTCAGTACTGAATTTAGGATATTCCAGTTCCTGGTGCATTCAAAGTCTCAGATTTTTGAGGTTTCCTGCTGAAAACACACTGCAAATAGAAATTAATTAAAGTAACAGATACTTCACAACAGCAGACCAGCTAATCAGAGCTGCTTACAGGCAGCACTGACACTTTATGTCACAATTGGGATTAATTAGCTGCTAGCCCAAAAGTAATGGGAAAAAGGCTCATTTTGAGGAAATATGTTTGGATTTTAGGTGCCACTGAATGATATGTTCGGATATTCCACGGAGCTGAGGTCTTGCACAGAGGTGAGTCCTCCTGGTCCTTTTTGCTAGAACGTGTTTGATTCTGTACATTTGGCTCATGGGATCATCCTGTCCATGGCAGCTGCAGCAGGGAATGAGATCAGATCAGACCAGAGCTGTGGAATTGCTGGCCAAACAATCCTCCTGTACCTGAGGAGTTTGTTTGGGTGGGATTGTGGAGGATCCCTGGGATCCCTTCACAGACAGGAGCTGTGTGCCCAGCAGGGTTGCACATGGCCCATCCTCACTTTCTTTTCCCACCTCTGCAGGGAAAAGGGGAATACACCATGGAATACTCCAAATACCACCCCTGTTCAGCCAGCACTCAGGAGGAAATCATCAACAAATACCTGGAAGCAACGGGGAGACTTCCTGCCAAAAAGGGCAAAGCCAAGAGCTGATGGGATTCCTCTGGAGTCCACGGAACAGTTTGTCCCAGTCTTCTCCAACAGCTCGCTTTTCCAAGCCATGGAAGCAGCCCAGGCTGGCTGGGTAAGGTGGGCTCCAGTGGGATTTGGACTCGGAATTTTATCCTAGAACCTTTCCTCTGGGGTGGTGTCAGCAGCACCAGGGGATCACCATGGGATTGCTCTGTGTAAATGCTCTTGTAACAAGTAGATGTTAAAGCACGGCTGATGATTTGTCTTAATCATGATCTATTAAAATAATTTTATTTTTTACTTGATACATCTTTATTTGGAAAAGTTAAACTGAGATAAGAGCTGCTGGACAGGTACAGGGTGTGGGACATCAGTTGGCACATGGTGCTCCAGCTTCCCTCCAGGGAGCACATGGAATTTTCCCCTCCAAATCCTTTGGAAATGGCACAGGATCCTCCAAAGTCTCAAGCCACTGGGCAAAGCCATCAGTCAGTGCTGGTCACAAATCCACTTTCACTGGTGCACAAGGATGGAGCTGAGTTGCCAAGGATGTTGGGAGGAGCTGCCTCTTCCCAGAGCTGGGAACAAGATGGAATTACTGTGTGGCTTGGAGACATGGATTTAATGGGCTTGGGGTGTGGATTCATGTATGGGCTTGGCTTTTGGCTTTTGGTTAGAAATCCAAACCAAAGATCTCTTTTCCCAGAAGCTCACAATCCAGAGGGTATTAGAAATCCAAACCAAAGATCCCTTTTCCCAGAATCTCGCAGTCCAGAGGGTATTAGAAATGCAAACCAAAGATCCCTTTTCCAGAATCTCTCAGTCCAGAGGCTGAGTTGCAGCTGATGTTCAGCTCAGGAATCACTTGACTTTGCTGACTCAAAGGCGTTAGGTGAGAAGATATTCCCATAATTCTGTATTTGTAATTATTCCCAGAATGTCCACGTTGAGTTTTCTTTCCTCCCTCCTGCCCTACTCAGCTGAAAAGTGTTTTTGCAGATTCCAGTAAACAGGGAGTGAAGTTCCAGTTCAAACCCAGCGACATTCCTGGCACAGCACTGGCGTTGCTGCTTCCCAGACAGAAACAAGTGGAGCAGCCAGGCTGCTTCTCCTCTGGAAGGGCTGGAAAATGATTTATGGAAACTTTGGGAAAGGATTTGCCAGGGCCTGGAGCTGCTGATGGATCCCAGGCGAGATGTGGGGTGTCTGTGTGGCACTGCCTTGGGACAAATCCCTGATTCCCGCACATCCATGGCTTTGTTTTTGGGAATGCTCAGCTGGAATTCATTTCCAGAAAAGCCCTCAGGTTCTCAGACATTTGGAAGTTTTCTAAAACAAGCAAATGCAGCACTTTCCCCAAAATCTGGAGATGTCTGATAAAAGCAGTGTCAACACAGAACAAGAAACAGGGTGGGTATGATTTTATTTGTGTTTCTGGGGTTTGTATTTGTGCTTCTGAGGTTTATATTTGTGTTGCTGAGGTTTATTTCTATTGATGTGATTTATATTTCTATTTATGGGGTTTATATTATGTTTAGACCAGTTGTGATGTGAATTCCTGGCTGATGAGTTCTGCCAGATGTGCTGGTTGTCCACAAACCTAGGAAAGAAACAAACCCCAGGAACTTTGCTGTATGATTTGAGGTTTTAGGCTGGAACCTTGGCCTAAAAGCAGCTGGGGAAGACTTTGCCTTAGAATTCCACAGCTTTGCTACTTATCCAGAAGTTCCTGTGGAGTTCCTGAGCTGCTGTGAGTTTGTGAGCAGCCAGTTCCAGCACCCTGCTGCCTGGGAAGTGCCTGATCCAGGTAAGGAGACAAAAGCAGAGTCCCAAGGTGCCAAATCCTGTTTTTTTAATTCCAAAAAAATTACTGTAATCACCAGGTTCTTTAAGGAATGTTGGAATTTCACTTCCCTGATTTCACACTTCTGATGATGAGA